GGATTTACGTGGGTCTAAATGTTTAATTTCATTCGACACATCTTGCTCACAGACTGGGTGGACAAAGAAAGAATTAGGGTAATTACCATCTAGATACTTTGCATAATTGCTGCCAGATATTATTTTCGAGGCAAGATTGGAGCCAATGTTAGTGAAGAACTTGTTAAATTCTTCCGCAATATCAGAATTATTTGTTAAAGGGGGTTTGTTAGGATTACTTGAATGTAAGATACGGGGTATTAATTTGCTTGGTGTTTTGTTAAGTATATCATTGATCACTTGCCATGTTTTGTTTGTGTTACCTTGAGCCAATCGTACTCTATTTGAATAATGACGTTTTTTTGTTGACTTCGTGAGTTTTAACAGAATATTTCTGTAGGTTTTGTATTTAGTTTTATAATACTCACTGCATGGATTATTTTTCATTATTGAAAACAACTTATGTTTTGTGCAGACTGACTTGGCAAGTCCATAAGACATCCAGGGTTTGCGTATATTTTTAGACTGACGAAATGTTTTTGTACGAAGATGATTGGACGAGATGTTATAAAATATCTCACAGAAAGTTGTGTATGCATCATTCGGGTCCAAACAGTCGTAGACCGGCTGCCATGTTATGGTATGGAAGTCAGATAAGAAGGCGTTGGCATTATAGTTTTTGAAATCATAGCTTTCAACTGTATTTTCTAAATTTAGCTTATGTTTGAGGTGATTAATAACAGAAAAGATTGGATAATGATCAGTGATATCAGATTGAATTGTACCACAATCAATAAAATACTTGGTAATATTTGTAAGACAGTGATCAATGATTGTAGCCGAAATGTCCGAAACTCTAGTGGGAGTGTTAATAATCTGGCTGAAATTATAGGAATTTAGAGTAATTTTGTACTGAAGGGCGGGGGTAGTGTCTATGGACGTAAGGATTATGCAGCTTTTCCTCGTGGCAGACAACTGGTCAAGACACAAATCTAAACTATGGAGGAATTCGGGATGGGGTGTATTGGGTTTTCTATAAATAACACCTATAATGAATGCTTTGTTATTCATGAGGGTCTCCACAAAGATCAATTCGCAGTGCATAATGTGAATGGTGTTAATACGTGTAAATGGTAATGAGTTGTGAACGTAGAGTGCCACGCCCCCTCCTCTTGAATTTTCCCAATTAGAAGTAATGAGATTATATAATGACAAATTATAAAGGGCAGAATATGAACTAGAATTTAACCAAGTTTCCGAAAGCCCTAAGAAATGAAAACGATGCTCTATAGTGTTGAGGAATGATATAAACTCGTCATAATGTTTAACTAGCGATCTGGCATTTAAGTGCAAAAAGGAAAACGAATTTTGACAGAAAATAGTACTTAAATTGAACTGGTCAACAGAGTAGGAGACACAAGTAGTCTTATCTGGTATTGCTGAGTCCGTGTCTATATCCATGATACGTACAGGTGAGATTCACCAGATACGCATGGTAATGTTATTAAACAATCTTGCCAATATCACCAAGTTTAGCTATGCGTATGGCTGGGTGTCCGGCTTCTTTCCTTGTGTAGATCTTGCCGTTGGTGGTCCAAATGAATTTCCATCTTTTTTCGTTTCGGCGTTGGTTTGCCTCAAAGAAAATCTGTTTATTTGTTGGTGTTAAATTTTCATTGATGTAGATTCGGTTGTTGCTTGCAAATTCAATATTGCAGGCAGATCTGTTCTTCAGATGTTTTTTTGACTTATATAACTCATTGCGGATGGTCCGTCTTACAAATTTGACAATAATGGATGTCGGCTGGTGATTACGGCTATTGGATCGACGGGGTAAGCGATGGGATATGTCAATATCGTTAGGTGATATAGTAACACCTGCAGCCGCAGCCACTTTCACAACGATGTCATCTGTGTTTTCGTTTTCTTCTTCAATTATTCCAGCTATTTCTAGATTATTTCTGCGGGTGTATTGTTGGAGTTCGTTAGTTTCGTTGTTTGATTTGGCAAGCTGTTCTCTTAGGTCATCGTTCTCTCTTCTCATATCACATAATTGTTCGTTCAAACCATCAAAAAAGTTACTCACATATTCAACACATTTACGCATGTCTTCTAGCTTGTCTTCCACTCTGTTCAGTTTATCCATCTTTGCCGTTAGTGTAAGTAGTGTTGCCTGTATCTCATCAAGTTTTGAATCACCCGCCTCATTCTTACTGTCAGCCATCTTGGATTGGTTGGGTGGCAGTGGTGGTGGAAAACGAACATTTTTGCAACGCTTGCAGAGCTGAGTATCGCCGTTACAAAGTTTTGTACACGATTGTCCACAGTCCTGGCAATTCATATTTCTAACTTGAAGTAAAGAACACGTCTAACATTTGTAAAATAAACAGGAAATTTGTTGTTTTTCCCGAGCGATGTGTTGATGGTGCAGTCATGCAGTCATGCGCAATAGTAGACATACTAGAGTGACACGAATGCCGTTCAAAGCGTTGATCAATGGAAATTATATTTTTTAAAAACGTTACTACATTGTAGATGATGAACAACTACACAACCAAACATAGTTATCAATTTAATAACATTGATTTGATCCATTAACCCCATTTTGACGTCACAAAAGCGTTCTGTCACCAGAGGGCGCAAGTTATGGGAATGATGTTTGGTACATCGGTTTAAGGTAGAGATGCAGTTTACCTGACAGGTATTTTAATTAGTTAATTAGGGAACCAAGATGACCTCCATTGTCCACAAAACTATATATTTTCGGAAAGCTTATTGTCTGAATTTTGAAATTTTGTTAGTATTTTTTTTCTATGGACACTGTAGTTTGAAATATGCACAAAAATGTGCTTTTTTGGTCAAAAGTGATTTAAAAAAAATTTGCTTCTAAACCATGCTTCTGTTTCCTGTCCATATTGGTATATGTGTACATCTATTTACTATGAAGAAAGTGCCGTCTTGAAAATTGTCTACCAGTTTTCAATTTTGCAGGGCCGCAGCTCAAATTTCACTACTTCAAGTTTATGCATAAATTAACACCCAGAATAGTTGTCTGTACGATTGTTGTAACACTGTTCAACTAAAAACAATGACCCGGCGGCGTTTTGAAGATAAACACATTGTCAATCATTTGTGAAAATTTCAAAACGAAAGGTCAAAGCGTCTAGGAGCTATTTTTTATTAAAGTTCTGGGATGTGCACTCAAAAGAAGCTGAGATAATTGCTAATTTGCATAACAATTCACTCAGTAAGAAGTTTGCTAATGCTCATAATTAAAATGGCTGTAGCAGTTCCAAATTTAAATGTATTATCGTTTTGTTAAAAGTTAAATATAGTGCATAATATGGAGATCCCGTCATTTCTTTTTTTCACCATGTTTCTTTATTATTATTTATGTACAGCCTTGCTAAGTATTCAAAAGAAAGAATGTTTGCACCTGTTATCTATATTTTAAAATCGTTTTTTGAGTATGTTCCACTATTCACAATTGTACAAAATTGTAACAGTCTATAGCCAAGACTGTTTGGATAATAAAAAGCCAAAAAAAAAAATTTAACTCCCAAGTGCCCACGAACCTGCATCTCTACCTTAAAAACGTAAAATACGCTAGAGAACGCACTACCTGAGTTCGCATACTGGCATATAAACCTGGACTTTGTATTACAGGAAAGGTCATTCCACTTATATTCATCATGTTTCTGTACAAGGACACAGTCCTTATTTTGAGCTCCACGACTATTTGGTTCATTATCTTGGAAATATTCATACACCAGTTCTGAACCATCCAACCAACGAAATACACCTATAATATAAAAAGATGGATGTTGACGTGTTAAGATGATGTTAAGACGTTGACTTTGATTGCTATTTGGTTATTTTTCTCCCAAAATATTTTTGGATTCTAAGGGCTGGACTATTACAAACTCTGGATGGGGTGATGGCAGAAAACAATGGACACAATTTGTTTTCCTTCACTTAGCTTTGTGCAAATTTTTTCCATTTTTTAATTTTCACAATGTGTAACATTTTTTTTTTAGAAAATTTCTTTCTTCAGTTATTGATTGCTGTAGGATCTTTGCGCGATTTTTTTCTGTGCATTTTTTTTTCAATTCTGCCATCGCCCCAGAGTTTCTAACTTAAGGTACAAGAAGCCTACTCATCATTTTTGAGAAAGTTGGTCATAAATCGCATGACAATGTTCATTGGTTTATTAAAGTCACAAAGGTATTGTCCAATGG